GAGATTTTTAGAACTTGTTTACTTTAAATCCTTCTTATTGCCTTGGGACTTTTTAATATCAGTATTAGTGGGATAGTTTCCAGTTTGAAAGCAGCGTCTCAGCTAAAGACTAAGGTAACCAGACAACATTTAAATTCTTATTTACTTCCTACTTTTGTTACTTATTTTCTTTTCACCTCTGGGCCAGGGAGGAAGAAGAAATCAGAACAGGGGATGGGGGCAGCTAGAGGCGGGTGTGCTGTGAGGCAGCCCTGGTTACACAGCAAAAGGAAGCTGACATTTATTGACCCTCTACCACGTGCCAGGCGCCCCTGGACGTTTTGACCTGTGGAAGCAGGTACTTTCCTTTTATCATCGTCATCTAATAACGCTTGTATAGTGTGGTGAATTCAGACAGGACAAAAGTTAGAATCTTAGAAGTAAATGTCCTTCATAGTGACTGTAAGAAGATCTAAAAATGACTCTTGGCAATAAGGACAATTGTGAAAACTTAAAACTTTTTAAGCCAGTGAGAACAAATTCAGCCAAAATAAAATTGACTTCTTATAGTTCATTAAAGTTATATTTATTACCTCTTTATAATATTGGGTAGTATTATAGTAGAACAGCTAGTATCTTAGATATTTTCTAGGCTAGCAGTGCTGTGCAAGAGAAATAATTCGTCACATATGTAATTTAAAATTTTCTAGTAGCCACATTAAAAAAGCAAAGACAAACAGGTTGATTAATTTTAACTGTATATTTTATTTAACCCAGTTATCCAAAATATTATCATGTCAACATGGTAATCCATATAGAATTATTAGACATAGTGTGCATCTTTTTTTAATATGAAACCTTCAAAATCCAGTATGTATTTTACATGTACAGCACACCTCCATTCAGATGCTAACTTTTCGTCAGAAATGCTTGATCTGTATTTAGTCATAAAAATTGCAGTTAAAAATGTAGATTCCAAACACTATTAAAAATTTTCCAATAAATGAATAAAGTACCAAAAAAACCCATTTTCTTTAATACTTGGCATCTGTTTTGACACGACTGACTCATCTTTTTTAGAATAATTGAGCCCAAAGCAAAAGCATATCAGTCTCAAAACTGTATCTAATTTAAGTAAATCCATTAACTCTTGTAACCACTCAGTATTATCAACATCAAATTCAAAGGACCATTATATAAACTGAAAATCAACTCCAAATTTGTCCATATCAACAAAGCATTCTTCAATTTTTCTTATAGATTTTGCAGACAACTTACATAATGCCATCGTATTTAAAATCTTCTGTATATTTGTTCACATTGAAATGTGTAAAGTCATTATTGATTTGTATTATGAATAGTTTAAATTTTAACATAAATTCTCATACCTGTCTAGCTAGGTCACAAGCAAGCTTTTATTCTCTCCTTGGATCTTTAAATTTAGCTCATTCACGTGCACTGTGATATAGGTGAAAAAATGTAAATCATGCTGTGATGTTTTCTCTTTGTTCAATATTGGCAGGTGTTCCTTTTGTTTCAAGAAAATCTTGAATTAGAGTTAACAGTACAGTAAACCTTTGTAAAATTCTTCCATGACTCAAGCAGTGAACATTGGCAAAGAACATGTAGTCATTAATTCATTATCTTCCATTTCTTTTAACAGCTCCATAAACTGGTGATGAGTCAGAGCATTTGCACATGTATACTGAACAATTTTAATAACTGCATCCATGATACAGTCTACTTTAGAGCACAGATATTTTCAATATGTTAATATGCAGTGGATCACATAAGGGAAATAATTCCATTAAATCCGGGTTTTTGATCCCACGTAGCAGGTCCTTGTCTGTCTTGATAGAAACTTTTTCCTGTCTAGCTGAAAGTGACAGATGTAAAAGATTAAAAAATATTTACAACATGCGGTTGATTGTTTCTAAGGTTGCAAATAGATGAAGACATTTCAATTTGGAAGTCACTTGAAACAAAACGTACCCAAAGTATTAACTGGCCATTGTCTCTTGTCTTGTAAAACTCATCTAAAGCGAAAAGTAAAAGTACTTACAATTTTCAAATGTTGAATGAATTGATCTTGAATAATGTCAGAAAGGTCTTTTATTCACTAACAGTTGCTTGGTGGATCAACTGAAGATCTTTCACTTTTTGTAAAATATCCTTTTTGATCTTTATCTCAAATTCTAAAACATAACTCCCTTAACTGAAATAATAATTTAATGTTTCATCTCTCCATCTAAAAATGGTTTTCTTTCTTGAGCAAGAATTCAAGCTATTTTAAAGCTTGCCAGAATTACAAGCTCAAATCCTTAAAATCACTAAGAAACTTCTTTGTTATACATTTCATTCTGATTTCATTGATGGTGACAAATTTCATTGATTATTTTTTGACTGTAGAGAAGCAACTTATATTATTATGCATTTGCTGAAAATGACTCAATATTGTCTACTTTATTATCTTAAAACTTTTTACACAGCTTATTAATTTGCCTCTGCTGTATTAAATCATAATTGCCATTATTTATAAAATTTGTGATACACCTTTTCCACTCGATACTGCCTCATTAGTGTGCCTATGTTGTCAATTACACATTTGTGTGCAATCTTTTTTTAAAAGTTCCAAACTTCATTTGGAAGTTAAAATTTTTTTCATTGTTAGTTTTTAACCCAGAAAAATAATTTATTTGTACTATTAAAATAAGTATTTCAGTTTAACTACCAATTACTATTTACATAGGTATCACTGTAACTCCTGCTGTCTGCAGAAAATATTCAAACAAGCACATTACAGCGCTTCATTATTGCATAGAAAAATAACTGAAACCTTCTGTTGACATAAACTAGACTGGTGATATGCTTATGTGTGATCCTAGAAATGACATGTGCACCCACACTGTGCACTGCAGTACATCTTATATGATGTCATAATAAAAGTGAGATATAGTTTTACGAAAACCATAAAGTATTTAATGGAAATAGATTTTATACTGCTTTAGTTAAATAAAATTTTATATCAATTAAAATTTTAAAAGATTAAAATGCATTTCCTCAGTTGCTTTAGTCACATTAGAACAGCTCTGGAGTCTAGAGAAACTTATTCACTTTAATAATGAACATTCAAAGAGATGAAGCAACTAGACCCAGTTAAGTCACCTTAGTTCAGAATGGAGCAAGGCCGTAAATGAATCTGTATTTCAATATATGAAAACGTTCCTTTAACAAATGTTAAAGGCTGAATTCATGTCACACCAAAAAGAATTACTTTAATAAGAAAAAAATCAGTTATTTCATATAATCTGAAACAATTTGTTTCTTTAAACAAAGCAACCCTTTTTTTTTTTTTGTAGAAGCTAAGGGGTTTACTTTTCAATGAGATATTCTAGCAGCATGTAAATACATGAAAGATGATCTGAATTTGCTTTTAGACTTCATTCCCCAGATGAACACTAGCATTTGGAGTTATTTTTGTTTTGAACACTGGGTATTCTTTTAACCAAAATACGTGCATATATTTATACAAACATAGAATGAAAATGTAAGCAGGAATTAGAGTAACAATACAATTTCATTCTTTAGTGAATGCCTGAGGTTCATGGAGGAACCAAGTGCCTTAAACCCAGATTTGCAGAGTAGACCTTACCCTCTTAACATTTATGCTGACAGGAAGCAAGGAATTAAACCTTTTCACTAATTTAATTCCTTTATGTCTTTGTCATAAAACTGATAAGGAATTATTTTCCTGCCATTGCTGGCACTTTGATCATAGAGAAACGGTCTAGGATGTAAAAGGTAGCTTTTGCTATTTGTAGAAACGTTAGGGATTGACCACGGGAGCTTGGAGAATACGTTAGAGACTCTTGATTGACAACACAGGCAGTCAATTAATGCGGAGGGGCATGTTAAATAATTACGTATATATTTTACTTAAAGATTTCAAAAGCACTCACATTTTGAATTCTGTGAATAAGAGACACAAGCCATGCTTTTGTGTGTAATCTTTTTTTAAAAAAATTACTTTCCCCCATCCTATTCACAATTTTTTTATAGACTGGTTTCAGGTATGTAAGACATGTTTTTTGGATTCTGCTAGAGATGACCTAATTTTTACTAATTGCTATGCATTCAAAATTTTTGTTTGCTCAGAATGGCAATGTTATTGTCATTATTCTTTGGTAGTTATAATAAGTGGTTTTGTACAAAGCTGCAGTTCAAAAGAATATTTTGGTACTAGCTTGTAAGTTGTTTTTATTAAAATTGACCTTATTCTAGGAAGAAAATTGAATGCTAATGTACAAGTTAAAGTTTATTATGTGTGATTCCTTATATTATTTGCTTATTGACTCGCTAAAACACACACACACACACACAATATCAGTTTTAAGGAACATCTTAAATGTCTTTCTTCAAAGCGGTTATCGGTTTCCTGAAAGATGTAGCCACTGTTTTTGTTTTCCAACACCTTGGAATGAAAAGATTCATTCTTCTCAACCATCTGAATTCAGTTTATTTAAATTAAATTATGTGTGAAATATATGGATTTTAGTTTTTTAATTCAAATATCCCTACAGGTTAATTACTTTTTTCCTGCTTTTCTCTTAAATCTCTCCTGCAAACTCCCCATTAATTTGAGTTGGGAAGGATCACATTAAAGATTTAGGCTTCGTGCTACATGAACAGAATTGGTGCTTTGTATTTCATTTTCCATGTATTATGTACCACTGAAAAGAATATAACACGTGTAGTAGCGTATTTCATTTTTGAAAGGGGAATTGAAGAGCTTTTGAATAAAAATGTGTAAAGAAACTGGTGTTCATTGCCTACGTGGCTTTTTATAAAGGACTCTTGAAAAGCATTCCACTGTGGATTCCAAGTCCTCTTTAAACTCACCACTGACAGTAACTGCCTGCAGAGGCATGTGATCATCTTGGCAGTAGCCAGGCCTTTTAGTGATTGCATTACTGTGGTTTCCTCAAGCTCTTTACACACATTGATTAATATTTTCCTTGCAGTTATCGCTGTGATGATTTTGTGATTAATGACACCAAGCTGGGACTGGTACAGAAAGTCAGAGAACACTTACAGAACTTGGAAAAGTAAGTAGTAGGCCTTGGGAAAGAAGGGGTGGAGTGGGGTTGAGGGGTCTTTCAGCATTTCTGAGTGGGATTTTTGTTTATGAGTTCCATAACTTCATCACGTTTTTAGTGTGATTGAAATGTGAACAAAGTAAACTTTGGAGTTGGGTATCTGAAAATGCCCATAGTCAGTGATCATAGCTCAGCATTTATTTTGTTTAATATTTGTCATAAACCATGTGCAAGGGCTCCAGAGCCTGTTTTTCAGTTATCCACCAGCTTATAAGCTCCTCAGTTTATTTGCAAGGGGAATTTTGGTAGTGCAAGGGAAGGGCAAAAAATGATACAAAATCATTATAGAGTTACCTTTGATATTAGAAAATCCTAATCCAAATGTATTATGAGGTCTTCTTAGAAACTCTGAAATTTATGTATCAAGGGAAAACAGGTTTAATTATATTATTGTTCAGCGTGCATCTATGTGATAGCACCAGATCCTACTTTCTTCTTTTCCTTTTTTTGTCAGGGGCAGTATTTATCACTTGAAAGTATAGGAAGCTGTGAAATGCTTTGTCATCATAAAGAAATTAAACTGCTTAAGTGAATAGAATTATTTTTTGCTATAGCCAAATAGGCTAGTCAGATAAAGCTCACTAGACCCAAAATTCAAGCAGTAAACAGAAACCCCAAGTAGCAATGTCTTTTGAAGCTGCAGTGGTTAGAAGCATGGCCCTGGAACGGTCGCTGACTCAGGTGAAATTTGCGTAAATCACCCCTAATTGTCAGGTGCCATCTAATTTATTTATTTTTTGTTGTTTTTTAAAAAATCTTTATTGGAGTGTAATTGCTTTACAACATCTTACTTATTTTGACAGTCGATGTATAAAAATGGTATTGTGAGAACATGCCACAAGTGAGAGTCCTTTAGCAAACTTACATGTGAAGCCAACAGAGTATTTTAAAATTGAGTGCTGAGAGGGAATAACCTAAGTTCTTTGAGTTCTCTGACTGTCTAGCTTTGGTTAACCAAAGTCTCTGTGCATGTCTCTGTCTAAATAGACTATAAGCTGATAAGGGAAGAATCGATTTCTTTGAAATCTAAGCTAATTAGAACAGTCTGGGCTTAAGTGCACTTTGGCTTGTCATCTTGGGGCTCCTCACTTTTTCAAAGCGCCTCCTCCCTTTTAATTTGAACAAAGCAGCAGGAGCATATCTAGGGTTAGAGACACAGGTATAGACACACAGATCTAGAATATTGAACTTGGTCTGAAATAATCACAATTAACTGTGAGGTAGGAGATTCCTGCAGTAATTTGTGTAAATATCACTCTTTGGTGTGGTGATGTCATTGTAAAGATCTTACTAACTTGATTCTTTGTTGTAGAAGTAGGTAGCTACCAAATTATTTCTTCCTGCCACTTATAGTTTTCTCTAAGAAAAGACTATCATCTCAATGACAAATAAATTCATCAGAACTGAGTCAAAGGGAAAACCGGAAGTTCGAGACCCTGCATATGCGTTTGTGCAGATGTTGAATCTTTTATTTCCATTTATTTCTTCGTCAGGCAAAAGCTGTCACAGACTCTGCCTTGTCTACACTTCTCCTTGGTCCCACTGAAAAAGCTACTTTGCGGTCCTTTTTCTATGTCGATAAACATGACCTAAATCTATTTTTATTTTTTCAAACATAGCCTTTACTCTGTAATGGAAGCTACAATGAAAGAACTATGATTACATTTGAGTTTTACTTTAGACTGTTTAGCGTATCCTCTGGAGAAGCACTGCGCACCAGAAACGTTGTATTGATCTACACTGCCCAGTATGGTAGCCACTGGACACACGTGACTATTGAGCACTTGAAAATTAGCTAGTGTGACGAGGAACTGAATTTTACATTTTTAAGTTTAATTAATTTAAATTTATTAGCCACATGTTGTGAGCAGCTACCATATTAAATAGCGTGGATCTGAAGGATTCTGCCATTTTGAGAATCATTGATGATAAAATTTAATAACATTTTTAAAAAGCTAAATGCTTTTCTTGGTATAGGTTAAAACCAAAAGTTAACTATTAGGCATTGTCACAGTACATACACTGTGCTTGTGAGTGAACTTCTTTACTTACAGAATTTGTGAAGGAATAACTTAACATCGTAGTACATATGGGATTATCTCTTCTTACCTTGTAGTCACCAGTACACTGAGAGGGACATACATTTCTGAAGACGTTTTTCCTAAGAATATTTTTAGATTTGAAACAGCTGACTGTCACTAGATCTGATGCTCTGAAGACAGTTCATGTGGAAATTTTGGAAAGAAAAATAATTATGTATTTTCTTTGGATTAACCTGGTACTTTTGGAAGATGGGAAAGAGTTGGTAGACTTAAAAAGTCTATATTGTTTAATAGTAACTTTCACTTCCTTTAGATTAGTTCCCCTGATACATAATAATTTTAAAGTGAAGATAGGAATTATTTCCTCTGAAGATAGGAATTATTTTCTAACAAATTTCAAACTTAATGTCTCTTTCAATGAGAAACATTTAGATAATTTAAATTCAGAATTTATGCGCTAATTAGAATTTGTTTTAGAATATGCTTTGTAGCAGAGCTGAATCAAATGAATTGATATATGCCTATGCGTCTATAATTTATTTATCATTCTGCAAACTCAGATTATATCATCATCTATTACAACATACTAACAAAGTATGATACCTTTATCAAAATTAAGAAAGAAGTGGCATAGAATTTGAGACTTAATGTTAAATCTCAGAATAATCATGTCAGACCAGTGTTTTTCTTTTTTACGAGTAGTGGGTGTTCTCTTGTTTGAAGCTTCACCGTTGATTAGGTAGATAGAGCGGTGGAGGAGAGGGACTGTCCATCAGACCACATCCACTTGGCCAGCGTTTCCGGGAAGCGCCCGGGGGGGTGGCAGCTTCCAGTCCCACCCTGCTGGAGGAGCAGTGGGGATTTCCAGGGGAAGTGGAACTCCTCAGTTACTTGAAACACTTGTGGGCCACAGTGGCCTAACAAGTCACTTCCAGGGCTCCATACCCTAGATACTTAGAACAGCCATGTTTACTCTGTCTTGCTGTGTAGTGTTGTGTATGTATGAACGTCTTTTTGACTGTCTGTTTGTGCTTTAATAGCTCAGCTTTCACAGCTGACAGGCATAGGAAAAGAAAACTTTTGGAAAACTCATCACTGAACAGCAAGTTACTAAAAGTAAATGTAAGTAATTAAAATGTATTCAGATATAAGAATTGGTTGAGCTCTAGTCACTGTTTGATTACAGTTCTAACATTAATGTTGCCCTTTATAAACTTTTATAAATGTATGCCTTGGATTTGGAATATTTTACAAAATGTTTGCCACTTGTACTAATGATTCTTGACGTGACTGAATACCCCAGCGAGTCTGTCTGTCAGTGCCTTCCTTCCGTCAGGATGACCACCGTGCTCCTCTGCCTTAGGAGGCATTTGTTCTTAACGCCTACTCATGTACCTTATTACTCCATCTCTGTAGGATCCCAAAGATCCTTGCTTCCTTCTGTTAAAGGTCCCTAGTGCAAATTCTACGGGTCTGGGGCTTCCCTGGTGGCACAGTGGTTAAGAATCCCCCTGCCAAGGCAGGGGGCACAGGTTCGAGCCCTGGTCCGGGAAGATCCCACATGTGGCGGAGCAACTAAGCCCGTGTGCCACAACTACAAGCCTGTGCTCTAGAGCCCGTGAGCCACAACTACTGAGCCTGTGTGCCACAACTAGTGAAGCCCGTGCACCTAGAGCCCATGATCTGCAACAAGAGAAGTCACTGCAATGAGAAGCCCGTGCACCTCAACTAGAGAAGGCCCGCACGTAGCAACAAAGACCCAACACAGCCAAAAAATAAATAAATAAAATAAAAATCTTAAAAACAAAAAAATGCTTTGGGTCTGAAGTTTTGGTAAGTTTTTTCCTTAGGGCCTTCATTAATACAATTTCACCATAAAAGAATATGCTTCCTCATTCTGATACCCATCTCTCTTACCAAATGTATGGCCATTAATGGAGTAACAAAGTTTAAAGATGACTAAATATTGTAAAATATACCAGTAATTTTGTCCTGCATCTACCTCTCTGCTGTCATGCTAGCTGTGTTTAGACACACAATTAAGTATTACAATTTCGTGGAAGAAGGAGCTAAAGTGATGCTTTGGGTTGGATGGGTAGATTCACTAACCATCTGTAGTACTCAGACATCACAGTGCATTTGTACAGCTAATCAAGAAACAAAGCCTTAGTCTTTAAGGGAAGTTCAGGTAGTTTTTTCAGATTGATATTCCATTGCTAGGAAAACACGTATTGGTCATTTGCATGGCTTAGAGTTAAAAGCTGGGGGACAGAAATACTTGGCATGTTTATATTTTTTCCAATTTGTAGTAGCTTTAATAGAGTCTTATGACGGTGTTAAGTCTTAAACTTATTTAAGGATCTTCCTGGTTTTTGCACTGTGTACTCCACAGTACTTATTAATGGTGACTTCCTCATAAACGTCCATTTAGAACAATCCTAGGATCAGAAACAGCCTTCCAAAAATATCCAGACACGTTTACAGAGAGTAGAAGGAGAATTTGAAATATTTGTTGGACTGAAAAGTATCAATTCCGAACTGGCTTGTTGTTAGAGTTTCAAATATAGGCCTTTGTTCTTCTTTGATGTTGAAACAGTTGGCCTTCTCTTGGTATTACTGAAGGCCACCTCTTGTTCCATTTTACAGGGAAGCACCACTGCCATTTGTGCCACAGGCCTTCGGAATTTGGGGAACACGTGTTTCATGAACGCCATCCTTCAGTCACTCAGGTACTGTTACAGTCACAGCTTAAGTATCTGACGTTAGCTTCTGGTGGAATGGTTAAGAGCAAAGGCTCTGGGTTCAGATCCTGTCTCTGCCACTAACTCTAGCCTAGTAACTTGGGGCAAGTTGCCTCAGTTCCCTGTGCCTTAGTTTTCGCATCAGTGAAATTGGGGATAATAGTCTACCTCACGGGGCAGTCGGGAAGATACTGTATAATTTACATGAAGTGCTTAGAACAGTGCCTAGCGGTAACTAACTGTTAGCTGTTATTATTTAGTTCCTGTTCCTTCTTGAATAGGCTTGAGCACAGGCCAGCAAACTTCTGTAAAAGGCCAGATTAAATAAATATTTTTAACCTTTGCATGCCACATCCAGGCTTTCTCACACATCTTCTCCTCCCTTCAACACCCCTCTCCCTTTTAAACAACTCTTTAAAAATAATAAAACTCACTTTAAAAACGTAAAAGCTCACTGGCCCAGGGTCAGATTTGTCCTGTGGGCCATAGTTCAATCATTAGTTGAGTCTTAAGCATGGTCATAAGATCAGATGTTTAGAAGATCTTCAAAATGTAAGGTGAGCAGGGACTTCCCTGGCGGTACAGCGGTTGACTCTGTGCTTCCACGGCAGGGGGCTCGGGTTTGATTCCTGGTCAGGGAACTAAGATCCCACATGCTGCGTGGCCAAAAAAAAAAAAAAAAAAAGAGTAAGATGAGCAGGAAAAATAAAATAGACAACAAGGCTGACCTAAGTTATACAGAAGAAATTATTTAGAAAGTTGCATACTTTTAGATTTTAATGTGGTATCAAAGACCACAGTAAATTATTTTCCCAAGGCCACCTTGCTAATGAGGAACAGAAGCCATGTGTGATCTCTCCTTAAAGGTACTGGCTCTCAGCTTATCTAGTCTTGCTCAAAGAAGAAATTCTAGTCACTACCGAATTCTCCTTGTTACTCTGTATACTGTATTTAAACAATATGGTTGGTTTCATGGCTTTTATTTGAGGAAATTATTGAAAACTTGGGAACAAAGGCCCTGAAAAGAAAGAAATGGTGACAGGCTACAGATGGGAAGGGGGAATTGAGGATTTCTGGAACAGAGATTTTGCTTTAAGGTCTTTGTTTATTTTTGCAAAGTCATCTACTTCTATTCCCTTTTAAAAAAATATTTATTTATTTGGTTGTTCTGGGCCTTAGTTGTGGCAGGCAGGCTCCTTAGTTGTGGCTCCAGGGCTCCTAAGTTGTGGCATGCAAACTCTTAGTTGCAGCTTGCATGTGGGATCTAGTTCCCTGACCAGGGATTGAACCCAGGCCCCCTGCATTGGGAGTGCAGAGTCTTACTCACTGTGCCACCAAGGAAGTCCCCCTTATATTGTTTTCTTGGAGTAAATGAGGAAGCTTAATGAAGAAATGCAATGTTAAGAGATTGCACTGAGTATCATTTGAATGAGAAATTGAAATATCACATTTTCAAAATCCATATACTGTATAGGTCTCATAGTGCTTTCTTTACTTCATAGTACATTTAAAAACTAATAATTTTTTTCCCTTCCTTTTAAAATAGTAACATTGAGCAGTTTTGCTGTTATTTCAAAGAGCTGCCTGCTGTGGAGTTAAGGAATGGAAAGACAGCAGGAAGGCGAACGTACCATACCAGGAGCCAGGGGGACAACAACGTGTGAGTCTAAGAATATGTCCTTTCTGGCTTTGAGCTACAGAACAAATGACTCTTACTGGTGATTTCCACTGCATTATCTGAGTTAATAGGCACGTGCATTAAAAAAAAAAAACAAACACCAAGACAACTCTCAATTGTGTTTAAGTATCTAGCTAGCAATCTTAATAATTGTTAGAATTCTTTTATTTCTATTTACCTAGTAGGCAGGACAAATGTAGCACTCCGCTTGCTGAGTGTGTGGATTTGGGCATTCTAAAATTGACATCTATGAAGAAAACACAGTTTTAGGTATAGACCGGCGTGAATATCATTAGTCTTTGTGAATTGATTTGTCTGATAGGGTTAGGTAAACCTGTCTTGGATAATTACATTAATTTGTAGTTATCAAATTAATTACAGAGCAGTACTGTCAATTTTTAGCTGGTATGGAAGGAGAAAAAAATTGACAAGTGATTACTGAGAACCAAACCAATATATATTCAAATTCAGTGCAGCCACGCTCTCTTTGGGGTTCAGAAAGATTTATCATATTATCATGACCGTAAGGGGTATCTTAACATTACTGAAATAGGGCTACGATTTATCATCTGTATGTATTTTAATGTAATGTTTTCCCTGCCTGCCCATCCCTGCTCCCACACACCCCATCCCCACACATTCTGAAAAGCCGTCTTATAATCTGACAGTGTTCTGCCTAGATGCCTGAGGGAGGATAGGATAGGCCGTGTTAGAATAGTGTGTAGTGTGGAGTATGCAGTGAAGCCAGGCATTGGAGCAGGGATGGAATGATATCACTAGAAGTGGTGTTTTAAGAGTTTACCTTGGTAGCAGCATATAGGATGAGCTGGAACGTGCCTGCATTCAAGGAGGCTTTTCACTTTATAGTCATTGGTTAGAGGGAATAGCCGTGAAATGAAGAGGAAAAAATACATGTGCACAAAAGTTAAGGGAAGAGTTAGTAGTACTTGATGCATTAGTGTCATTTAGGGTTTAGTTACGAATTATAGAAATTGCCGCTGGCCATTTTAGGCAGAAAAGGAATTTATTGAAAGTCTGTTGGTGAGCTTACCATTAGTGGACGCGGGGGAAATCAGGTCTGGAGTCTAGGCATCCATGAGGGTGTCCCATTAGGACCGCTGTCCATGCTGCACCGAAGTTCCCATTGCCAGCACTGCTGGAGTTGGGTGCTGGGTGGATGCTGCTGTTACTGCTCGGCCCCTGCACTCCTGACTGTGCTCTTTGCCACCAGAAACAATCTGGCACTGTTCCAGCTTCAAATAGGCATACCCAGGCCGTGTACCTGAGTCCTAGCTTCAAGGGGGAGCGGGTGGGGGCTGAGAGAGCAAGTACCTGGCCTTTTCAGCTTCCACAGTAGGAGGCAGGCTTTGACTCTTAAGGTGGGGTTCCTCAAACATAGGATGAGGGTTCAGGTACTAGGAAGTAAAAAATATGATTTGTATCTCAGGAACCTACTGGATAACAGGGGTTAAGAAAGAAGATAGTGAGATTCTCTGTGATATCAACCAAGTATCCACGAGTATGGTAGCTGTATTGACACATACGGTCATTGAAGTTGAGGAGGTGTATAAACTTACCTACATGCATAGAAGACCAAAACTAACGGTGACTTAAACATCCGTGGTTTATCTTCTCACATAAAAGTTGGAGGTTATCCATCTAGGTTTGTTTCACACAATCATTGGGCTCCTCTGGCTTTCTGTCCCACCAGCCCTGGGTGAGACTCTTATCCACATCATCCACAATGGTGCTGGCGCACCACCGTTTCGTCCTCATTCTAGCTGGAAGGCAGAAGGAAGGGGTGAATGAGAAGGACCACTCTTTCTCTTTAAGGGAATTTGTCAGAAGTTGGGCACACTCAAAAATTTTTTTTTATTCCAGGAGCTCATGTGCCAAGAAAAAAATGGATTTTTTTTTTATTCCAGGAGCTCATGTGCCAAGAAAAAAATGGAAGTTGTATTCCTGTGAGAGAAGGGGCGATTGGAGACTGAGGGGCCGTAGGGAGAGTACGGAGAGCAGGTTTAGGACACAGTGAGTTAGAAGAGACAAGAGGGCAGCCAGTAGAAAATTCCTGTTGGAACCTGGAGACAGCTGAGTAAAAGTGGTCATGAGAAAAATCTGGAGTTTAGATTTGGATTTGAGAGTCATTGGTATAGAGGTGAGTGTTGAAGCTTTGTGGCCAGATGAACTCTGCGGCAGAGATGAGCAGCCACGCACCGAGGTCTGGGGAGTGCGCTCCTAGAGAGTGGCAGGAAGGAGAAAGGCAAGAGATGGAGAGAGAGATTCTATTACTTGTTTTATGGGTTTTTTTGAAACATTTCATCCTTAGGTAATTTGATTTGTAACTTATCCATTGCTTTATTTTACAAGTATGGCAGTACTTTGGCATACTCAGAGTTCACCATATAGTTAAAAAACTAGTTTTGTCTGTAATCACTGCTATTTGTATGGGTTTTGAGATGCTGTACTTAGCTGTCAGGTTGAGTTCAGAAGAGACCAAACTCTTATTATGTTTTCATTTTTTATTTGTGGATTTTAGACAGTTTGGCATTATGTATCGAAATAGCAGCCTCTCACTAATGCCGAGGGTCTCATCATCCCCTGCTCTTTTCTAGGTCTTTGGTGGAAGAGTTTAGAAAGACACTCTGTGCATTATGGCAAGGTAGCCAGACTGCATTTAGCCCAGAGTCCTTATTTTATGTTGTTTGGAAGATTATGCCGAATTTTAGGTAAGTATTATTTAATGAAGGATGTTTAAAACATTAATATTAGTCTTTACACTGTTCCTGAAACAATTTCCAACAGTGGTGGTATTCTCAATAATGAAACCAGTGTTTTGTTTTTTAAGGAGAAGAGCAGAAGTTGGATATATCCTACTAGACAAATGTGTTTAAATAATAGACCTTAGAAAAAAATCTTTAACAAAAGGCAGGGCATTTTGTTGTTATAAAAACAGAGCCCTTATAAATAACTTACGTGCTCTAGGAAAACATACTGGACAAAATTTCCTTGATTTTTTCAAAATCTTATACAGAGTAATTATCATCATACACCGTCCTGTTATTTCAGCTAAAAAAAAAAAATCCAAATGTAGTCAGTAGAAAACCATGGTATCGTATTCACTGTTCTGGTCTGGGTTCTGAAGACCTTACAAGACTGTAGTTAAGTCCATTGGGATTCATTCGCTTTCCAGAAGGTAACACAATTAACACATCATCTCCTAATGTGGTTATAGAGTCACAGCGTTTCCCGTGTTCTTTATCTTGTCTCGCTTGAGTGGGGAAACAGCCCTGCTGTCAGAGAAATCTCCCTCTTCTCCTAAGCTAGTCCTCCCCGTAGGTAACAGCAGATCTGAAGCACTACGGGTGCTTGACAGCAGCCTTCACCACCACCTGCTGATTTTATCTTTCTGAAGCACGTCATGGTTCTTACTAGCCATGATTTTGGCGCCTTATGTACAGCCCTCTCTTTCTTTTTTAAAACCAGCACGCTCTGGTAAAACTCAGCAATACATCTTGCTTTACTGTTTCAGAGTGGTTTAGATATATTGGTAGTATGGAGAAATGTCTAAAGGGTAACAGCTTCAAAGGACTGTAATTTGTTGCCTTGCCATAAGAGTCTAGCCTTGAGGATCAGATGTAATTGACTATTGTTAACCCTGGTCTTTGTTTTGAAGGAAATTTCTTTTATATTTCATGTTATTTATTTTGTAAGAATTTTAGAATTTCCTGACTCTAAATAGGAAAGGTAGAAATGATTAAGTTACTGCTAATCACGTCTGGACTTGATACAAAATTTCTAACCATCACCTACTTAGACTCTTGATGGGGATTTAATCTTTGTGTTTGGTTATTATTATAAAAATTGCTTCCATTTGTTGAATGTCTATTCAAAATTTCTAACCATCACCTACTTAGACTCTTGATGGGGATTTAATCTTTGTGTTTGGTTATTATTATAAAAATTGCTTCCATTTGTTGAATGTCTATTATGTGTCGAGCACTTTTGGTATTGTATATCTGACCTTCATTAAGAAACACAACAAAATTCCCATCAGGGTAAGAAGTGTTAGCCCATCTGAAAGAGGACGGAACTGAGACAGAGGAGAGTAGTTTGTTCAGTTTTATACATCTGGTAGGCGTTGGGACCAGAATTAGAACCCAGGTCTTCGTGGTGTTGGTCAGCGATAGACGTGTTAACAGTAATTTGTCCACGTGCCCCCAGTGAGGCCCACCAACCACCTTTATACTCTTCTACTTGGTTCCCATGGTGACTCAGTTCCCTCTTCATCTAATAGAATTCTACTTTTCATCTAAATCTGCCCGTATCTCTGTTCTTTCTGGTTTCTTTAGCCCAGCTGTGAGCATGATTTCGTTTTTAGCTGCTTAATTTTACTCATTCTATTATTCCTACCAATGAAGGGAAAGAACTTTTGGAATAGGTAACCAGCTTGAGAAATTCGGATGGCGTTTCCGGAGTGATTCCTATCACATATGAACTCTTAGATTTCCTTAACGACTGATCAGAATAGGATGTCTGTGTGTGTTCTTAGCAGGGCTTTCTCTTCGTTCTGTAGTAATTCAGATTGTTCCTCACTTTCATGTAATCGGAGAATAATTTTCTCTTGGTTAGCTCTAGATCTTGAGATTATATCATGAATAAAGTTTTAGTGCAGGGTCACTGCACAGTGCCCAGGTGTGAGGTAGGGTTTTCTTCTCGTAATTGTTACTCCTATTATGTGTACAGGGTAAAAGTTCTTAGAACATGCCGAAGTGGAAATGCAATGGGGTCTTGAATTATGTTTGTATTTATAATCCCAAAGTAAAATTTTTTAAAGTTTAGAAAGCCCATTTTCCTTGATTAACATGTGACAGTATCTAGGGAGTGTGATACCTTGGAATAAAATAAGAGGAGCCTGGGGAGTTCCCTGGTGGCCTACTGATTAGGATCCCGGGCTTTCACTGCTGTGGCCTGGGTTCAATCCCTGGTCGGGGAACTGAGATCCCGTAAGCTGCGCGGCATGGCCTAAGGGCGAAAAAAGTGAGGAGCCTGAAATACAATCACGCATGTAGAAGTAGGAACAACTTTCCTCTATTAAATAAATAAATAAATGCAGAAAAAAAAGTACCCTAAATGTAATCAACAGCTTTGGACATAGAAATCATCAGAGCTGTTCTTTCTCTTTTCCCACCCAAACCAAGAGCCAGTCACTTAGCAGGGAAACTGTTCCTGAGTTTGAACTTCCCAGCAGACATATATCTGCAGACATATATCTACTTGCCACACTTCTTATGGCTTCCTAGCATGCCCAGCTTTTCCTGTCCTTTCTTTTTTCTTTTTTGCGGTACGCGGGCCTCTCACTGTTGTGGCCTCTCCCGCCGCAGAGCACAGGCTCTGGACGCGCAGGCTCAGCCTTCCATGCCTGTAAAAATGTAGGCAGTAGTCTTTCCTATCCATAATTTTATGAATGTACTTTAGATATCATTGCTGGATTTATCTACATAAACCTCTGTTACCTTCCAACTATACCAGCTTAATTTTCTGTCAGATTTCATTACTGTTCACTTGTCATTGATCTGTATTAGTAGAAGACTTCCATAGAATTTCCTGACTGAATATAGTGTAAGAAGTAACCTCAGAATATGTTGCTGTATATATTAAAGTTTTAGGCTAGAGCATAATTATAAGTCAATGCGTTTTAAAGTTTTTATTTATTATTTAAAAAATCTCTTGAATCAGAGATTAGGATGCAAGTATAGAATGCTATACATCTTTAACTCTTTAGATAAAGTTTTTCTTCCTTTCAGCCAGTGTTTAAAAATTAGTATCTTTCAGTCTAAAGATTTAGTTTTAAATTCCTTATTTCTTGTAATGGTGGTTTAGACCTAGTTTTCTGGTGCAGGTTAAGATGTGAAATTTTAACATTTGAGCATCTTCTAGAGAGGCCATGTGGGAAATGGGAAGATTCACAGTCCATCCAGGAGACATGTTACTCTCCTGTTGCAGGACTTCAGGCAGGTCACACAACCCCTTTTTTGCCCCTCAGTTTTCCTCTTAAGTGAGGTCAGTTGAGATCACTAGAAGTCCAGTTAGCTCTACTATTCTGTGTTTTCAAACTTGTTTTTCAGTAGTGGAATTCTGTCTTGAAGGTGCTTTTACATGTAAAACAAGGAGGAAGTGAGGAGCAAGAATCAGGGCGCCTCCCTGTGCTCTGAGCGCAGGGCTGTGGCCCTTCTCAACACTTTGCCCTCCTGCCTGTTTGGCTGGGCAGGCGGAGCCCCACAGTGACTGTTTCTGTTTGCTTCAAGGGGCTATCAGCAGCAGGACGCTCATGAGTTCATGCGCTACCTGTTAGACCACCTGCACTTGGAACTCCAGGGCGGTTTCAACGGTATTTCCCGCTCATCAATTCTGCAAGAGAATTCTACTCTGTCTGCAAGTAACAAATGTTGCATGTAAGATTTAGTTTCCTTTTTGTTTTCTGGGAAGACCTCAGGTTGCTACTGGTGTTCTTGTTTATTAGATTTATAATGGAAGGTGGGAAGTTTTCTGGACCTTTGCTGAAACTTTTGTGCACTTGAACTTTGTGACCAAGGGGACTAGCATCGAAGGCATCTTGTACTTGCATCCAGGTGTAGTTCTAATCGTTATTTGCTATAGATTATTTTTAAACTTGAAAAAATAGAAAACATTTGTACAATTTAACACTTAAAAATTTTCCTCCAACTGCATTGAATAATGTATGGGAGACAATTTTCATATACTAAAATAATTACATTTGTTCACTAATAACAGGCTTAAAATATTTTGAATGTGAATTTTTCTAAAGCCTCATTTGGACTTAAATTTTCCAAAAATATGTCTGTTCTTTAATCAAATTGAGGCATTCGTAACTTTTCAGAATTTTTTTTTTTGCCTCTCAGTATGAACAAAACAAACCTTTTGGGTTGCTTTCCCAGGTACTGATACCCCAAAATATACATTGAGATCAGAATGTTTATTTTGCTGAGGGAGAGAAAAATTGACTTTTATTTCAGCTTGGATCTTGGTTAGTTGTCTCCTTTTGTTCAAATTTTGGGAAAAGTTTCATATTGACCTATGCAGGAAAGGGATTATAAGACGAACTCCCCAAAGAAAGAAGAAAAGAGTAAGTTATATATAGGGTTTGCTGTAGTATATTGCCTGACAGTCCGTAAATCGGATTTTGTGTAAGATAAGGTCTTTTTAATGACAGAGCAGTCTCAACAGCCAATCTGACTGTATCAGAGATGGGCAATCAATATGAATTGCCATACTTTTTTAAATGTTTGAACCTAGGTCCTAGGAGCTATGGTTCACATTAGAATCCAGTACAGAAAGGGAAGGACCTGTGATCTGGTAGAAATGTTCTTGCTGCTAGCACCCAATCAAACATAGTATTAAATGAAAAATTCTGTTTTGTATTTTAGGATGATATATTCATACACAAAGAATATTGAGCTGGGCTCTATGAAGGATAGTCTGTGTGAAGTGAGAGGATAGTCTGTGTGAAGTGAGAGGATATATGTCTTTATTATTTTATTTGATGCCCAGGGCACCCTTAGGGAATCACATTGTGTGATATAAGATGTTCTTTTAGTAACTAATGAGTTTTCAAGTAATTTTAAGTTCCAGTAGTGAGTTAGGAAGATAAAAAAATTATTAAGTATTCAAAACTCAGGCTCCTTTATATTCCCTTAAATTCACTGGAGGATGCATTTCAGAATGTAAGGATCATATTTGCTAAAACTACAAAAAAAGTCTCCTGTATTTATTCGTATAAACACACTGAACCCTACTGAAGGTGGGGGTGAGGATGGTAGAAATAAATGGCGGATGTGTTCTTTTTAACACATAGAAAATCATGAGTGCCAATATAAAGGAACTTTGCAGCATAATAGCCTGTCCAAGTAGCCAATATTTAAACTCCCTCGTTGTGTAGTTATGATAGATGGAACAGTGATTTTGAAATAATTCGTGAACCTTGTTTAAGTCATTGTATAATGACTAAGCTTAATGCCATACACATCAGATAGCCAAGAATTCATTAGTATCTTTTTCTCAGAGGAAGAAATTATAAAGGAAGAAGTACATTGAGTTTAAATGTACTGCTTTTTAATAAAGCAGTTTCCATTTTAATTAAAGGCAGCAGCAGTGTGTGTGAACATCAGTATAAAAGGGTCAGTCATAGTCCCTTTATTTTTCAGTAGATTTTTTTTGGGGGGGGTATATCCTTTGTGATACAGATATTAAATCTGAAACCTGAAATGGCCATTATATCCTACAGTTCCCATTGTATCTTCCCTTTGTAATTTACTAAAGCCATGTGTATCCTATGAACAACTTAAAAAAACAAGAAAGCTACACTATGTTTCTTTTGCCAGTAAGGAAGGAAGCCCTTTCATAGAAAAGGACGCAAACTTTTAAAATAATAGAATTGCTCAGGTAAGTTTTGTCTGTCTCATCATTGCAGTAGGTCTAATTTGGAGCAACTCGAAGTACGGTTCAGTGTATTAGGAGTACTATTGACTGCAAGTGACAGAAACCACCTCAAATTGCTATTAGCGAAAAAGAGCAATATACTGGCTCAAGTAACTGCACAAAAGTTATTATCTGTGTTCACTGTAGTACTATTAATGACAGCACACAAATGAACCTCAGTATCCATTGATATTTTTGTGTTTATTCTGATGTTGCAGTGAAACCCAAAGCCATTTTGGGTTTTTTTTTTTTTTTTTTTTTTTGCGGTACACGGGCCTCTCACTGTTGTGGCCTCTCCCGTTGTGGAGCACAGGCTCAGCAGCCATGGCTCACGGGCCCAGCCGCTCTGCAGCATGTGGGATCTTCCCGGACCGGGGCACGAACCCGCATCCCCTGCATCGGCAGGCGGACTCACAACCACTGTGCCACCAGGGAAGCCCGCCATTTTGGTTTTTAAAATAATATTTTTTTATTGAAGTATAGTTGATTTACCCATTAATATTATATATTAGTTAAATTAAGAGAAGGAGCATAGTGTCCACAGCAGGTGCTCAGGTTAGGCCAGCTGTGTGAACTTGAGCCAAGTTATTTAACCTCTGAACCTCAGCTTCCTGGTCTGCAAAATGGGGATGATCTTATCTACCTCAGAGTTGTTGTGAGGATTAATTGATTTACATGGAAAGTACCTAGAATGGAGCCTGGCATGTAAGTGCTAAATAATATAAGTGCCTGCTAATCATGCTGTCACTGGTGCACTATTCTTGTGCATTCTCTGTCCATACCGTGGCAGGCTGTGCACCTGTGAGTTGCATTCTCTGTCCATACCGTGGCAGGCTGTGCACCTGTGAGTTACATGTCCAAGATACATACTTAGGAAAGAAAAGCAAAAGGCAAGTATGATCCTGATTATTGTTATAAAAGATGTTTACAACACTCTAAGGGCTTTCTTTTTGGTAAGCACTTGTCTAAAAGCACTGTAGGTATATTCCCATTTCATCGTCACCAGGCCTCTGAGGTAGATAGATGTTATGCCTGTTTCACATTTGATGAAGCTGAGGCACAGAGAGGTTAAGTACTATTAGGACAGTTGGTTTCTTATTGTTCTTAAAGTGCTGTACATATTATCTCCACAAGGGAATCATTATATTGTTTTAAGTGAGCTTTTTAAACGGCTTGTTGATAGTAATATCCAGCACTTCAAATGTGCAGTCATATCTCCACCAGTGATTACTAAGTATGTATTAAATTTGTTTACCTCATTTTCCCCATCTAAAAAAATCTGAAACTATCTTTGATCAAGGTTGTTGTTCAAAGTAAAGTAATTGAGAGTGCTCCCCATAATATGAGAAGTCTTGCAAAGGGTCCAATCTAAGGCAGTTCCCTCTTTTCTGAGGGGTATAATTGAGGGAAAGGGGTCCTGTTGCCCGAGTACAGGCACGTACGTGATCTGTTAGTAATGGCAACTGTTCAGTGTTTGTTTGTTAGTAACTTTTGTACAAAGTAGTGGGATTGGGAGAGGAGCTGGGGGAAGGACAGTGGCTTAAACCTTTCACTTGGTATACATCTATATATAGGTTCAAAATTTTTGTGTTATTTTATAATTTAAATTAATAAATGATATATATACACCCCCAAACAGAGCCACCTATAGGAGGACCTTTTACACATATTTACTGAGATGTTTTCCTGTGTGATTTTCTTTAGAAATGGAGCATCTACAGTTGTCACGGCTATATTCGGAGGCATTCTCCAAAATGAGGTTAACTGCCTCATATGTGGGACAGAATCTAGAAAGTTTGATCCATTCCTAGGTAAGACATATTTGGCATATGGAGATATGATATTGTATTAAAATAATAACTGTAATGTTTCCTTTGAAAACTAAGACAGTAAAGAGATAAATCCTTAAAAATACATCAATTTTTGAAAGTATTTTTTGAGTGTGGTTATATGCCTTTAACAGTTCTGTTTTCCTGTTTCCTTTGAAGACCTTTCATTAGACATTCCAAGTCAGTTCAGAAATAAGCGCTCTAAGAATCAAGAAAATGGACCAGTTTGTTCATTACGAGGTAAAGATACTTTGATGTTCTAGAATTTTTTCCCCCTTGAAATAGCAAATAATTGTTGTAATTAATTTGTGTTAACAAAAGTCAAACCTGAATGTCTCTTCTTGTACAAAAAAATTCTGTTTGGCAAGAATGCCTGCCAGCCAGAGATACTGACCTGCCAGGTGAAACATATTTCTCACCTTTCTCCTCTTTTTAAAACTAGTTTAAAATTGAAAGTTTGTAACAAAACTTTTTCTGATCTAATGAAATAGAATTTATTCTATGGATATTCTACTAGTAACCACAGGAAGAAAGAACCTCAGAAAAGTTTTATAAATTATGGTGTCATTCACTCTTTTGTATGACTAATAATTTGAGAGCTCTCTTGATGACATAACTGTTGGCTAAGCCTTTTAATCTTGCTTTTAATTGCAAGATTCAAATTCACATTTACTTTCAGAGATTTCTGAACAGATTTTTTCCTTGATGAGTATTAACTACTTTAGTCAAGGCAGAAGACCTGTCCTTGACCAACCACTAAAATGACTAATTGTTCTTTTTAGTCATAGAAAGAAGAAACTAGGATAGAAAAAAGAAAGAGTTATTAGTATGTGTTGTCATTAAGTACCTCTCCAGTGAAGGCAAGTAAAGTTTCTACCCTGAATTACATGTTCACTAAAAGTTTTAGGGAGTATTGTCATAATGATTAATATACATATAATGTAAACTTTTCTTACAAAACAGAAGATTCTGTTGGTCTAAAACTGTACTGTCCAATATGCAACCATGAAGTCACATGTGCCTATTAAAATTTAAATCAATCAAAGTGAAATTTCAAATTCCATTGCTCAGTTATACTAGCCGTATTTAGAGTGCTCGGGAGCCACCTGGGGCCAGTGGCTACTGTAGTGGTCAGCACAGATGTAGAACATTTCCACTGTTGCAGAAAGTTCAACTGGACGGTGCTGCTGTAGAAGCAAATTATCCTGTAAAATGTATATGAAAACACTTTGGTCTCCACCTATACAACAGTGTTGATTGTCTCTTTTGAACAGGAGTACAGAAGAAATTTAAGGAAGCCCCATCCATGCCACTTCCCTCTAAAATATGTGGCTCTAGTATGTTTCTCTAAAACTGTTTTTGGCCTATTTGAGATTAAGAAAATATCACAGTATACTTGTAGCAGCAAGTGTCTGTCAGATCATTTTCCCTTTATATCTATGGCATATGAATACAGGCTAACTTAAGCATAAAACAAATATTATTTGACCATTTAGAGGGGAAATCAGTGAAAGTTAAAGGAATTAGCCTCAAATTATATAATCTAATCTAAATTAGATTGACTTCATCTTAATAAGAACACTAATAATATTAATGTAGTAAAAAATACTGTTCCTTAATATCTATATCTGGGTATCTATTTGAATCATAATTCCTCATGTTAAACAAAACCGTTAGTCCAGATGATTTTTGACTGATTGGAAGACCCAGAGACACTCATTTGCTCAGGTTTCTTTCCTCCTTCCTTCAGTGCTGATTCCCCCCACCCCTCCTGAATTGGTCATACATGGCTCTTATTGCCTCTGTAACATTTCACTTAGACTTAATGCCCTAATACTGAGAGATGTTCCTTTCTTGAGACCATCCAGGAGAGTGTATGACACAGCTTACTTAGGTGGTTGACTGGTACTAAAACAAGAATAGTGGCAAATGGAATTTGCCTCATATCCCAAGTAGTATTTTTCTTGGCTCCTTGGTATTAGCATCAGGGGGCCCAGACCATCCTGAGGTGTTGAGGGTTTGGCTAGAAACATGTTTCCTGTATTCTCAGCTGGCTTTCCTTTGAATTCATTTTGTTAAAGAGCTTACTGTCAGCTTTAGAAAGTCTAAACCATGCAGTATCTGTGAAATGCAACAAAATGAGATTTTCAGACGATCAAGAAGCCACCTAGTAAAGGACCCAGAGGGCTAGAAAAATTTCCAGATGAAAAGGCAGCATATTTCAGAGACTTTCACAAGGGAACTGAACAGTACAACATCAAAAATATAACCAGGCTGCCTCGAGAGACAAAGAAGCGCATGCAGTGGCAATTATCTTTCATGATGAAGCATCAGAGACATTCGCCTTGGAGGGCTCAACTTCTGCTTAAGAATGAGGGAGAGGCTGGAGACAAGATGGTGGAGTAGAAGGACTTGAGCTCACCTCCTCTCACAAAAACACCAAATCACAACTAACTGCTGAACAACCATCAACAAAAAAGACTCGAACCTACCAAAAAGATATTCTATACCCAAAGACAAAGAAGAAGCCACAATGAGACGGTAGGAGGGGCACTTCTACAATATAATCAAATCCCATATCTGGCAGGTGGGTGACCTACAAACTGGAAAATAACTATATCACAGAGATTCCCACAGGAGTGAGAGTTCTGAGCCCAATATCAGGCTTCCCAGCCTTGGGGTCTGGAATCAGGAGAAGGAGTTCCCAGAGCTTTTGGATTTGAAGGCCAGGGGGGCTTGAGTGCAGGAGCTCCATAGGACTGGAGGAAACAGAGACTCCACTCTTGGAGGACGCACACAAGGTTTCACATGCACTGGGACCCAGGGCAAAGCAGTCATAGGAGCCTGGGTCAGGCCTACCTGAGGGTCTTGGAAGGTCTCCTGGGGATGTGGGGTTTGACTGTGGCTCACTATGGGGACAAGGACACTGGTGGCAGACACCCCAGGGAATACTCAATTGGTGTGAGCTCTCCTGGAGGTCACCATTTTGGCAAAGAGACCTGACCCCACCCACATTGCTTACAGGCTTCAGTGCTGGCACACTTCAGGCCAAACAACCAACAGGGTGGGAACAGAGCCTCACCTGTCATCAGACAGGCTGCCTAAAGTCATCCAGAGCCAACAGCCACCTATAAATACACCTCCTGAGATGGCCCTGCCCACCAGAGGGACAAGACCCAGCTCCACCCACCAGGGGGCAGACACCAGAACCAAGAAGAATTACAGTCCGGCAGCCTGGGGAACAGAGACCTCAAACACACAAAGTTAGATAAAATGAGATTGCAGAGAAATATGTTCCAGGTGAAAGAACAAGATAAAACCCCAGAAGAACAACTAAATGAAGTGGAGATAGGCAATCTACTTGAAAAAAAAAATTCAGAGTAATAACAGTAAAGTTGATCCAAGATCTCGGAAAAAGAATGGAGGCACAGACCAAGAGGATACAAGAAATGTTTAATAAAGAGCTAGAAGCTTTAAAGAACAAACAAGAGATGAACAATACACTAGAAGGAATCAGTAGTAGAATAAATGAGGCAGAAGAACGAACAAGTGAGCTGGAAGACAGACTGGTGGAAATCACTGCTGTGGAACAGAATAAGAAGAATGCAAAGAAATGAGGACAGTCTAAGAGACCTCCAGGGTAACATTAAACATACCAACATTCACATGATATGGGTCCCAGAAGGAGAAGAGAGAAAGGGCCTGAGAAAATATTTGAAGAGAGATAATAGCCAAAAACTTCCCTAACATGGGAGAGGAAACACTGTCAAGTCCAGGAAGTGCAGAGAATCCCATACAGGATAAACCCAAGGAGGAACACACCAAGACACATATTAATCAGATTGACAAAAATTAAAGACAAAAAGAAAATATTAAAAACAACAAGTGAAAAGCAGCAAATAACATACAAGGGAATCCCCATACGGTTATCAGGTGATTTTTCAGCAGAAACTCTGCAGGCCAGAAGGGAGTGGCATGATATACTTAAAGTGATACAAGGGAAAAACCTACAACCAAGAATACTCAACCCAGCAAGGCTCTCGTTCATATTCAACAGAGAAATCAAAAGCTTTACAGACAAGCAAAAGCTAAGAGAATTCAGCACCACCAGTTCTATGACAAATGCAAAAGGAACTTCTCTAGGTGGAAAAGGCCACAGCTAGAAATGAGAAAATTACGAATGGGAAAGCTCACCAATAAAGGTAAACATACAGTAAAGGTAGGAAATCATCAAACCACAAATATGATATCAAAATCAGCAATTGTGAGGAGAGTACAAATGCATTTGAAATTAAGAGACCAGCAACTTAATCCTGTATGTATATATAGATACATATATTATATATATATTATATATATATAATATATAGATATATATATCAAAACCTCAATGTAGCTGCAAACCAAAAATCTATAATAGACACATGAAAAAGAAAAAGCAGTCCAAACACAACACTAAAGATAGTCATCAAATCACAAGAGAACAAAAGAGGAAGGGAAGAAAAAAGACCTACAAAAACAAATCCAAAATAATTAACAAAATGGCAATAAGAACATACTGATAATTACCTTAAACATAAACAGATTAAATGCTTGAACCAAAAGACACAGATTGGCTGAATAGATACAGAAACAAGACCCATATATATGCTGTCCACAAAAGACCCACTTCAAATCTAGGGACACATACAGACTGAAAGTGAGGACATGGAAAAAGCTATTCCATGCAAATGGAAATCAAAAGAAAGCTGGAGTAGCAATACTCATATCAGACAAAATAGACCGTACAAGACTGTTACAAGAGAAAGAAGGATATTACAAAATGACCAAGGAATCAATCCAAGAAGATATAACAATTGTAAATATATATATGCACTCAACATAGGAGCACCTCAATATATAAGGCAAATGCTAATAGCCATAAAAGGAGAAATCAACAGTAACACAATAATAGTGGGGGACTTTAACTCCCCACTTACATCAATGGACAGATCATGCAGACAGAAAATAAATAAGGAAACACAGGCCTTAAATGACACATTAGACCAGATGGATTGACATTTACAGAACATTCCATCCGAAAGCAGCAGAATACATCTTCTCAAGTGCACATGGAACATTCTCCAGGATAGATCACATGTTGGGCAACAAAGCAAGCCTTGGTAAATTTAAAAAAACTGAAATCATATCAAGCTTCTTTTCTGACCACAATGCTGTAAGATTAGAAATCAACTACAAGG